TGACCAGATTTTGTGTATACTTAGTTATTATTAAATGCTTTTATATTGTATATGAAAATTTTTTTGACATAATTTGTGGTTATGTGTGCTGTTGCTTTTCCATGGAAGTTTTTTTTTTTTTGATACCAGGGATTGAACTTGGGTCCTTGAGCTTGTGAGGCATGCCATGGCATGGAGGATTTATCTTTGATCCCGGTAAGGGATGCTATATTAATCAGCTTTCCTGTCACTTGAACAAAATACCTGACACCCACGACTTAAAGAGGGAGTGGTTTAATTTGGTTCATGGCTTTGGAGGATTCAATCCATGGTCAGTTGGCTCCAAGGCAGAAGCAGCATGGTGGAAGGGTATGGCAGAGGACAGCTGCTTACCTCGTGGCAGCCAGGAAGCAGAGAGAGAAGGGAGGAGCTGAGGATAAGAATACACTCTTCCAAGACAGGCTTCCAGGAACCCACCTCTTCTGACCAGGTCCTACCTCCAAACATGGGATTTGGGGGGAACTTTTTAAAGATCCAAACCACAACATTCTTCCCATGGCCCCCAAAGGCTCATGTCCATCTCATTATGCAAAATGCATTTACTCCATCTCTAAGAGTTGCCAAAATTAACAGTTCAAGCTTTGCTGAAAAATTTAAGTCCAAAGTCTCCTCTAAGACTCAAGGCAAACTCTTAGTTATGAACTCTGTAAAAATCAAAAACAAAGTTAAATACTTCCAACATACAATGGCACAGGGTGAATATTCCCATTCCAAAAGGGATAAATAGGGGAATAGAAAGGAATGGGACCAAAGCAAGACCAGAATCTTGCAAGGTATACATTCAATCTTTTTCTTGCAGGGGAGGATACTGGGGATCAAACTTGGGATCTTGCACTTTCGAGGCAGGTGGCGGAACCACTGAGCTAAATCCCGGCCCCTAAACATTCAATCTTGTAGCTCCGTGTCCAGTACCCAGGGCAAGTTGTGAGATGTGAACTCCACAGGACTGGGGCAGTCCCACCCCTATGGCCTTTCTGGTTGCAGCCCACGCAGCCTCTCTCTTGGGCTGACTGTACATACTTCCAGCAGCTTTCCTCAGCAGATGTTCCATGTTGCCGGCATCTCTAACTTCCTGGGGTCTCCACTGTACCTTCATCTTTATTCTCATAGCTTCATGCATCACTCTCTGAGGAGCATATTGTCTGGTGTCCCAGCTCTTCCTTGAAATCTGGGTGGTAGCCTCCATGACTCACAACTCTTACATTCTGCCTGAAAAAAAAGAAAAAGCATCACATGGAAGCTGCCTAAGTCTGCCACCAGAATGGGCAGTATCTAGGACCCCTTTGACCATGACTGCAGAGGTATCTAAGTGCCTGGATAGTTGAGCATGATAAAATGAATCCTGAAGAGCCAATTCACTAGGCAGCCCATCTCAAGCAAGGGCCCAAGGAGTTCTCTTCTCAAATGAAAGGTTTATACTTTTGCACCATTGAGCCTGAAATTGGTGGGGTCTTGTTGAAATTCCTGAGATGCCTCCAAGGCATTTTTCTTCTTGCCCCTTTTCAAACTAATTGGTTCCTTTTTAATAGCACTAAACTCTTCAGCAGCCACACTTCTTTTGGCCCCAATTTTATACATGGTTCATTCTGGGCCAAAATTTAAGTTAAATTTTTCTCCTCTCCCTTTTGCCCCCAGTCATCACCATAAAACTGACTAAAATCAGCTAGCAGTACCCATGCCACACCTTGAATGTTGGGCTGTCTTGAAATTTCTTCCACTGGGTTAATTAGTACAGTGTCCTTAATCTCAATCTCTTGAAAAGTGTCAAAACAACAGCACACATGGCCTCTAGTTCAATGGCCAATAGAGTCCTTGTTCCCAACTAGAACCTCCTGAGCCTGGCCTTTACTGTCCACATTCCTTTCAGCATTCTTGTCTTCTGAGTTCTAATCAGAATCACCCATGAGGTTCTGCTTACAGTGTTGCAAGGCTTCTTATCTCACATCTCCAAACCTTTCCAAACTCCACCTGCAAACCAGTTACAAAGGCTTCTAAACCACATGGTCAAATACAGTTACAGTTACAACACCACTTCTCTAGTACACACTTTCTATATTAATCACCTTTCCCATTGCTGGGACAAAATACTTGATACCCACAACTTAAAGGAAGAGAGGCTTCATTTGGTTCACAGTTTTGGGGGATTCAGTGTATGGTAAGCTGGCTTCTGTGTACAATTGCCATGGGGAAAGGCATTGAAGAGAAAAGCTGCTCACCTCATGGCAGCCAGGAAGCAGAGAGAGGAGGAAGGAGCCAGGGTAAGAATATAAACTTCCAGCCGGGTGTGGTGGTGCACACCTATAATCCCAGCACTCAGGAGGCTGAGGCAAGAGGATTGCTGTGAGTTCGAGGGCAGCCTGGGCTACATAGTGAGTTCAAACCCAGCCTGAACTAATAGGGAGAACTTGTCTCAAAAAACTTAAAAAAAAAAAAAAATGAATATAACCTTCCAGTGATCTGCCCCCTCAGGCACCACTTCCAAATATGAGACTTTTAGGTGAGACTGTAAATCCAAACCACAGCAGATGCTAGTAATCTTGATCTCTTTAACCTAAGCTCCTTTAAGTAGAGCTGTACTTCTCTCTGTTAGGACTATTTATTTCCAGATCACTTACTCTCCTAGGGTGCTACACTTCAAAGTGCAGCCCAGAGAGTAGAGGGATTATCAGGGCCCCTCCTTTCAGAAGCCTGACTTTCAGTGTTTGACTCCCACTCCTGTGAGTCTGCTGAAGGCACTGGGCAGCACTTCAGCCTGTCCTAAGCCAACTTTGGAATCAACAAATTCCTTTAGAGAAGAGAGAGCTCCAGTGTTGGACTCCCCTTCCTACTGCTCCCACAAATCTTTGCACATGGCAGTTCTCTAGAGCCCTAAACAGGTGTTTTACTTCTACTGTTTTTGTTTTGTTTTGGTTCAGCATTTCTCATTTGCCTCCAGAGAAAGGTTGATTTATAGCCATATAGTCCACCTTCGCTAAAGACAGAACTTTCTGGATTTCTTTTAAATCCCCACTGCCTCTGGGAAAAGTCTATTGATAATTAAATTCATAAAATGTGTATTTACAAACAACTCTGCATGAATTAGGGTAGATCTGTATGAAAATGTTTTTTCATAGGGCTTCAAAACACACAAGTTCTCAGTTGTCTTCCCTGGAAGATACTTAATAGAGATGTGTTGGATGAGCAAATAGATGTTCTAGTGAATGATCCACACTGCAACATCTTGTTCTGATTACAGCCAGTTTTCTATGGAACCCACTGAATGAATGAGTCTTTTTGCTACCTACCCCATCCCCATCCCCCGAATGCCTAGTCTATTTTCTGTGCATGTCTTAAAGATATCAACGTGATCACATAACCGCTGATGAGTACAGTCCATTCCCAACCCTACCTCATGCCTCTGCCCTTCTTTGTTCCTCACCCACGCACAACTCTTCTCTGCCCCAGGGCCTTTGTCCCTCTGCTCAGCATCCTTCTCCTCTCCTCCCTACCCTGCTCCCTCTGTCTTTCAGAGAAGCCTTCTCTGTTTCCTCTGTAGCCTACCTTCTCACCCAGCTATTCTGCATATGACTTTATTCATGCATGCATTCTTTACTCTCTGCAAAGCGCATGTCATAGTTTGCAAGCATCTATTTCTTTACCTCTTTTGTCTCCCTTTCCCTACCAAGAAGGGAATAAGGACAATGTTTTTCTGGCTGTACCTATTGCTGTATCTAAGCACAGATCATGATGCATGATATGTACCAAATGCTCAAATGTGTAAGTGTGGGGTGAATAGCCTGATACAATGGAATAGTATTCAGCCATAAAGAAGAATGAACCTTGAAAACACTGGCCTCATAGAAACCAGACACAAAAGGCTCCATATTATATAATTTGATGAACACTTCAGTGTCTAGAATAGGCAGATCCGTAGCGACAGAAAGTAGATGGGTGGTCGCCAAGGAGTGGGGGAGAGAGGAGTGGGGAGCAAGTGCACATGGGTACAGAGTTCTCTTTGGGATGAGAAAATGTTCTGGATTAGAGTGGTGATAGCTGCACAACTCTGCGGAATACTAAAAACTGTGGAGTTGTACTTTGAAAGGGCAAACTTTATGGTATATGAATTATATCTCAAATGTACTATGTATACACACATAGATGTATTAGATGATATAGATGTCTGTGGAGTAAACAAATGAGTGGGAAGGGCTACGTCCTGGTGTGCCAAGAATCCCTCAACTCGTGCAATCAGGAATGGGTGCCCCGTGGGGCCATCTGGGCCCACGTGAACAGAAGCCCATCAGGCAGGGGGAGTTCTGCACACGAGGAGACTGCCTGTCCTGTTCTGTTCCCTGCCTAGGGTGGGACTCAGCCCAGCACAGAGCAAACCCCTCAGGGAACAAAAGCGGTGGCCTTGGGCCATTCGAGCCTCTGGGGTCCCCAGTGTGTGTCCATCAGGCATGTGCCACACCCAGGCGGGATCCCCAGATGGTAAGAGGCTGGCCCAGGACCCAGGTGGGAGAGGGAGAGGAGAGGCATCAGGGCAGGGAGCAGCCAGGAGCCCCACCAGGTGGGGCCTCCCGCCAGGGCCCAGCACTGGCTCATGGTAGGTGCTCTGTAAGTGTTTGGGGAATGAGCCTCAGGCCCACGGGAGCTGAGTGTGCATGGCAAGAACTCTCTGCCAGTGCTGGGCCATGTGGCTCGGGCGGAAAGGGCTTGGCGGTGGGAGGCCCTGGCTCCGGGCTTTGTCTGCTGCCCGCGTGCGGTGGAGCACTGGAGAGGCACATCCTCCTGCAGCCCCCATGTCTCCCCAGCGGAACAGGGAAAGGTCAAAGCAGTGACCACCAAGGAACCCTGAGCCTTCAAGCTGGAGCCCCATGAAGGAAGGCAAGGCCGTGGGGAGGGGCAGGAGCTGCTCCAGGCTCATGGTGGTCCCAGAGCCCCTGTGTCAGTGACTCCAGCTGCAGCTCTCTCCATTCCAGGAACCTACGTGATGACAGTCACAGCCAACGACGCCGATGACAGCACCACAGCCAACGGAATGGTGCGGTACCGGATTGTAACCCAGACACCACAGAGTCCGTCTCAGAACATGTTCACCATCAACAGCGAAACAGGGGACCTGGTGACAGTGGCAGCTGGCCTGGACCGTGAGGTGAGGACCCGGGCGGGATCCACAGGCAGTACCTGCAGGGAAGCCACCCTGGACGTCTCCCTCCTGGCCCGAGGGAGACCACAGGGCACAGCGTTCACAGCAGCTGCTGCTCGGGAGACACCAAGTGCGCCATGCAAGTTCCCTGGTGCAGGCCCCGCCGCTGTGTGCGGCAGAGAGGGCCAGGGCTTGGGAAAGCAGGAAGGAGCCTCCCTCCTGTGGTCCTCAGGCCCAGCCAAGCACCCGGGGGCCAGAGCCAGCTGCACGAGGCAGGCCACCCTGCCCAGGGGCTGCACGCCCTTCTGTGCCATCCCGAGCCAGCCCAGGGGTCACTTACCCCAGCTGGTTCCATGACCTCCACCTCCCTGCACTCCCAAGGCCCCTCCACTGGCCTGTGAACCCCACTGCCACCCTGGGGAGGGGAGAGGAGCCCACCACAAGCAGGAGCCTCTCCTGGCAGCTGACTGCCGTCCCCGTCTGCACGCCCCCAGGGGACCGGGAGACTCACCCCACCCTGGCTCAGGGCACCCAGCCAGTGGCCGGAGAGAGTGTCACCTGCCTGCTCCCATCCCAGGCCTCACTGGCCTCCATCTGCCCTGTGCCCACATGTGATGGCCTCACTGACGAGTTTGGCTCCAGGCCCTTGTGCCTCCTACAGGAGCTCAGAGCAAGCAGGGAGCCGCCCCTCTGGGACGGCAGAAGCTGCAGCTGCTTCCTGTGCTAGCAGCAGGCTGACTTGCGGACCCAGCTGTCCCCTCTCTGCCTGATTGTACAAGTCTGTGGGGACTCCCACTGTGGGCTGTGATGTCACTGAGGGGCCTGAGCCTGGGAGGAGGGGAGGTCCCCCAGGAGCAGCCCACAGCCAGGGTCCTGGCGGATATGAGAGTCGTGGGCCCCAGGTGTCTGAGTCTCCTCCTCGCCACTGAAACCCACCACATGCCTGGCCACCCTGCCAGCACCTCTGCCTTTCAAACCAAGGCCAAACTGCCAGGCGGCCGGCCTCCGCCTGGGGAGGCATGAAGCACTTCTGAAGATGGGGAACTTAAAGGGCGGTGCACCAGGGTGTGGCGTGGAAGGTAACCGCAGAGCAGGTGGCTGAGCGGGAAGATAAGGCAGCCCCAGGGTCAGCACCGGGGGAGGGGGGGGCGCAGATGCGGGGGCAGGGAGCAGCAAGTGGCCTTGGGCTCTGAGGGTCAGCGGCATCCTGTGGCAGGAGGAGCAAGGGCTGGCGTGGGTGGAGCACGTGGGACGCTTGCTGCGGATCCGATCTATCGTTTTCCTGGAGCGGTGTGGGTGGAGCTGTATGGTAGGAGCGTGACCCAAATGCAGTGTGCTGAGGCTGGCCCAGCCCTTGGCTGCGTGGCTGTGGGTCTGTTGAGGACCCGGCATAGACCCATGACGGCGACCCTGTGCAGGAGGGTCATCAGCGAGCTGCAGAGAGGCAGCAACCAGACACACTCCCCAGGCCCGCCCCAGCCCCCCTTGGCCACCCAAGCAGCCATGAGCAACAGGTGTTCTCCAGGCGTGGCAGGACTGGGCCGTATGCACACATGTACACACAAACACAACCTGCAGCTCCCAGTGCCACAGCTGCAGCCCTCGCTCTGTCTTGGGGAAGAGGCGGGAGCAGAGTGAGCATCACGCCCGGGACATCGGCCTTGGGATTGCCCTGCAGGAAGGAGGTCTGTGGAGTCCCCGGCCTGGTCTGCCTGAGAGCTCGGGGTCTGAGGAGAGAAGGGATGGGAGAGAGGGGACAGGGCCTCATCCCAGCTCGCGCCCACTGGGGGCCATGGGTCGGGGGCGTGCAACCTGAGCTATCAGGACCCTGGTCAGGAGGAGAGAAGCCCTGTCCCGTCCCTCTCCGCAGGCAGCTGGGAACCGTGCTCCAGGGAGTCCTCCAGATGTGCAGGTGGAGTCACAAGTCTGGCCTGAGACCTGTCTGCTGCTCCCCTTGTTCAGCAGCAGGGTGGACCGAGGCCAGGCCAGGCCCAGGGGAGGGGCCCCTGGACAGATGGGGTCTGCCCTCGCTCTGTGGCAGGGGTGAGGTGCACAGCGGGGAGCAGCACAGATGCCTGTGCCCAGGGGCCAGAGGCACATTTGCACGGTCAGAGCAGAAGCTAAGCCAAAGCAGGGACACCGCAGGGCTGGCCGTGAGTCACGTGCTCTCAGGAAGGATTTGGGGGCTCCTGTCTCAATTACAGGATGTCCATCACATTCTTGGGGTTCACAGAGACCCAAGCTGGCCTTCTCATTGGACAAACAAGCAGACTAACCCACCAGGGGTCCCCGGGATCCAGGTCGAGCGTCCAGATGCCCCCGGCCCATGCAAGCCCCTGACCTGGGCCCCACTGCTCTGGCAGAGTACTGCGGGGCGTGGCCCCGGCCGGAAGTAACTCTGCGTCTTGGGTCCAGGAGCCGCTGAGCATGAGGCAGATTGCTGGGTGGGTTGGGGTGTGTTCTAGTTTATATTTTACAGAAGAGTATCAGATATTTTCCAGCCAAAAAAATACATACGATGTAAGTGTAGATTCCTCTTCAGAGCTGCAACTATTGAAAGTCCCCCCAAAAAAGGGAGAGGGGGTGCAGGGTCCAGGCATCGGACGCTAGCAGGGAGCAAGAGATCCACAGAGCCCACGGGCCTTGGGTGTCCTCTGCGCCTGCCCACACAGAGGGAAACCCCTCGGACCTGCGTACGACCATGTGTCAGGTGCCACCGTGGGCAGTCAGGGCCTGTGACCAGGCCCCTGCAGATGTGGCTCCCGCCACACTGTGACCCCACACTCGCTGACCAGGCCCAGTGAGGTGGCCTGGCCTGGGGCAGAGGGGAGGCTGGGCCAGCCCTGCTCCCTGCTGGGACCTCCCCACACCTCCTGCCCAATGAGTCCTTCCCTGCCGTCTGTCTCAGGGCTTGGGCGTGGCCTGTGAAATGTTCCCCACACAATGCCCATTGAAAAGCCATTTGAGGGGGCACCCTCACCTGTGCTTCTCCAGGGGCTAGGTGGCCTGGTGGGAGTGGACACGGGCCGCTGGCCAGGGCATCTCTGAGGAACCAGAGCCACACCTCTGCTTTCCTCCAGGGGCTCAGGCTTGCTTCTTCCTGTCATTGTTGGTGAGTGTTCCTAATGTCCAGTCCAGGGAGACTTTCTCTCCCTGTTTCTGTCCCCGGCCCATGAGTCACAGTGAGGGGCATGGACATGAAGCCCAGGACCCCAGCACAGCGTTGGGCTTCAGAGAGGGGCCCTGCTGATTCCTGGGGTGCACAACCATGTGCCTTGGGCTGGGAGGACCCAGCCAGCCTTCTTCAGACTCCCAGAAGGCAGGGGGGCCGTAGAAACCCTAACCAGGCTGTGACACAGTGGGGTGCTCCCGGGTCGTCACAGGGTGGGGCTGAAGAGAGGCTCATGTGGACACATAGAGAGACCACACCCAAGGGGACATTGGCTCTGACCCCCATGAGCAGCAGGAGCTAACCCCAAGAAGAGACTGAGAAAGCCAAGTATCCCCACAGCTGACCTTGCAGGATGCCCCTCCCCTGCAATGGTTGGGCCCAGGGTGGGGTGCGGAGAGGGGCTCAGCTCAGTGGAGGGGAGAGAAGTGACAAAGTGAATGTTTATTGAGCACCTACTGTGTGCACTGCTCATCCTGAACAGGTAGATCCAAGCCGCCAAGGGGGCATCCTCCTGGGTGGGCAGGAAGAGCAAGGAAACCAAACCTTGTGAACCTGGGGACGGGGCACCAGGAGAGAGGGCCGGGTTGGGACAGGCACTAGAGACAGATGACTTCTGTGTCACCCTCCTCCAGCGCAGTCCCCGGGTCCCAAGCACAGTGAAGACCCGGCTGAGGGGGAACGCAAGAGCTTCCCCAGCCATAGGTACTGGCCAGCCTGGACCCTGGCCCTGGCTGCCGATGTCCGAGCTGCTCCCTCCTCGGGGGCTGGAGCCTGGCTGGCTTGGGGACCAAGGCCACGTGGGTGCCCCGGGGCCCCCCCGAGAGCCACCTCAAGCCTCTGCTGTCATCTCCAGGCTGACCTTCCCTTCTGTTCCCTTCTGCGGGAGCCAGTGCTGGAGGGCGTACCCTGTTCTCACCCAGCCTCAGTGAGACCGGACATTCTAGCAGTTGCCAGAGTGGGGCTGGGTGGTGGGAGGGGCAGGTCACTTTGTGAGCCTTGGCTGAGGATGTTCCAGGCCCTGGCCCTGGAGGCGATGGGGCTGCAGGGTAGGGGTGACGGGAGGAGTTGCCGGAAGGGAGAGGGCGCCGGGCGGTGAGGTTGGGCCTCAGGCCTGCTCTTCTCCACTGGCTCCAGGAAATCTGAGTAACGCGTGCAGCCAGCGCCAGAGCAGCACAGCCCAGATGAGCACCCAGGCTTGGGCTATTCAGCGACAAACAATTATCCCATAGAGGGGTCCAGATGCGCCCTCTGGCACTTGGGCACTGGCGGCAGAGCCTGGCCTGAGGGGTTGGGGGGCTCGGGTCACTGAACCCAGAAGCCAATTTCTGTCTCAGCCAGGGCTCTGTCCTGCCAGGTGAGGTCCCCAAGCAGGGCCTCTTTGGCTGGACACTGACCACCATTTGGAAAGGGCACAGGTTTCTTTTTCCCTCTCAAAGACATTTATGCCCCAGCCCCAGTGCAACAGGCAGAGTTCAGGACCCTGTGGCAGACAGAGCCCCGGCACTGCTTCCCGCTGGAGGAGCAAGCGTTCTCGTCGTCAGGGAAGGAAACCCACAGACACAATTGCCACCGATTCCACCGCCTCTAATTAGGAGAGCTATGTAAATCGAGCGTTTCTACATGATTAAATGTCAGGAGGGACTTTGATAAGACGCCAGTGGTTCAAGAGCCTCTGGTGTACAGCAAAGGCTGCCCCACTTGCTAATCCTATTCATCTTTCCTTGTTTCCTAATTAGAATATTTATGGCCTATGGGAGGGAGCGGGACACCCCAGGCCCATGGGAAGGTGACAGCTGGTTCCCCCTGCCTCCTGCTCCTGTCTCACCTGGGAACT